GTCAGTGGCAGCCATGTTAAGTGCCGTTCCAATTCTCCAAATGAAAGGAAAGGAGGTTTCAAACTTCCTTTATAACCTCCTTTAGTTTAGGAACCACTGGACCTCCATTGACGAAAGGAGAGGAGAAAATGCTGCCCCACAATGCATTGCAGCCGCAGCATTTGCCGTCACTCAACAGTCGGCCGTTCACGGAAACAACCGATTATGACAGAGAAATGATATCATGAACGTTACGGGGCTTATTAAGCCAAAGTGCTTTGTTCTGAACGTTAATCAGTTTTATAATCAAAAAGAGAAATATGAACGTTAGTTTTTACTGAAATGATCAAATAAAGTCAACATTTCACAGTCTTTACTGAGCTGTTTGGGGTTTGTTAAACTTTTAAAAGATGTTTGAATGGTGATGTACACAGTGATAGGTGTTAAGGACTAACGTTTATAATAAATACATTTGTATTGATTTTAAGATATTTTCATTGTTCATACGTATTGGGATCATTTGTATTAATGTGGACCGGAGGGAGAGGGTGACGAGCATACGTTTCACTTTCCTTTTTTATTTCAATTCCAACTTTGGTCATGAAGAATATGTTTCTCTGTTGTCCACGTTCATAAAGCATAAAACAACAGCATCAGAGCACGGTGCAGAGTCTCTAGATGACTTTACAGTAGTCCCTCGTTCTTATTAAACATCCATGTTGTAGTCCGCTATAGAAAACTGTAGTTTCCATAGTTTCCCCACAGCAGAGACGCACATTCATGACGTCCGCTGGCGCATCATAAACACGTCGGATAGTGAAAGTGCATTCGGATTCTCTAAAGTACCGCAGTCTCTTCTCCTAAATCCTTTTGAATTATCCTATCCACTATCCCTTAACCCCGTGACGTTTCACTCAGAGGTCAAAGAATAGGAGATAGGGTTAGAATTTAGGAGCTGATTTTTGGATTATCGGAACGCAACCCGGGAATTAGGAGACGCTAACATCCAGGAAGGATGTACGCGGATTGGCTGTGACGAGCAGAGGCGGGCAACGCAGGACACCATCAGCAAGGAGGTGGATTATCGCCGGCGGCTCGAGTAAGGGGAAGTGATGGAGAAACAGAGGGGTGTCATTGCGATTCAACCCTCCTTCAACTAAGTACCCTTTTGGATCAGCCTTTTAACCCTAACTTTTAAATGACTTTTTAACACTTTTAATTGGAGCAACTTTGCTTTCAGCCCCTATTTATAAACGTTTAGCACAAAAAACACTGGACTCTGGACAATTGAGTGTACAAAAACCTTTTGCATTTCTGTATCCCTTTCTAAGTAAATGCTCATTTTCTTTGATAATTGAGACAAAATAGAACCCTAGAGAAATGTGTATGAACTGACATAATATAGAAACTACTTTTGAAATATTTGATTTTGCCCATAATTACTTTGTGGCTGTGAAAAATACTTGTATGACACGATACGAAGCAACCTTTGAAAAGAGCAAAAACAAACATAACATTATGGTACCATATTGTTTAAAATGATGTTGTTTAAAGTCTTACCTCTGTAGATGTCCCCCTCCTGTCAGGGAGCACCAGTGTGTTGGCATGGCTGCCCGGGACTATAGTAGATCCTATACTCATTCTGGGTCCAACTAACATGTAGCGCTTGTCTCCAGATCTGTACTGGATGCTGTGACACAGTGTCCCATCATAGTTAGTCTCTTGTAGATATTTAGAAGTATAGTCTGTGGACTTAGAGCACTGCATTGCAATCAGCACGATGATACTGATGAGAAAAAGTGTTGAGACTGAGCCCAAAGTTATCATCAGGTAAAAAGTCACATTATTATCCTCATCATCCTTTGTTGCACTTTTAACATCAGCAGCAGCAAAAGCCTCTCTGGGCTCCACAAGTTTAACAACCACAGTAGCTGTTGCTGACAGGGAAACGTTGCCATTGTCTTTCACCAGTATGAGCAGTTTATGCTCAGCCTCGTCTGTCTCTGTGAATGAGCGAAGTGTTCTGATCCGTCCTGTATAGCGGTCCAAACCAAAGAGACTGTGGGCAGTAACTTCCTGCAGTGAGAACAGTAACCAGCCGTTATATCCTATATCAGCGTCATAGGCTCTGACTTTAGTCACCAAGTGTCCTGCGTTCACATTGCGGGGAATCTCCTCCACACCTTCAGCAGAACCGTTAGAGCTGACCGGATACAGGATGACTGGAGCGTTGTCGTTCTGATCCAGAATGAACACGTGCACTGTGACGTTGCTGCTTAGTGATGGAGTTCCAGAATCTGTGGCGACAACTTGGAACTGGAACGTTTTCAGAGTCTCAAAGTCAAAGCTTTTTAGCGCCGAAATATCTCCGTTATCTGAATTTACACTGAGAAACATTGCCAGTTCATTTCCTCTCGCTATTTGATAAGAAAGTACTGCGTTTTCATTTACATCTTTGTCCGTTGCACTTACAGAGAATATCGACCCTCCAGCAACGTTATTTTCTGAAAGGTAAAACTGTAATGTATTTTGAGAGAATAATGGTATGTTGTCGTTTACATCTGATATCTGAATGTTGAGGATTTTGAAAGTAGATAAGAGAGGTTCCCCACAATCGGTGGCTTCTATTGTTATTTCGTAATGCGACACCTGCTCTCGGTCTAAAAATCCTTTTGTGACAACTGAATAAATGTTTTCTTTATAAGAGGGCTTTAACTCGAAAGGAACGTCTGAAGTTATGCTTGATATTATTTTTCCGTTGACACCGGAGTCCTTATCTGTCACACTAATAAGGGAAATCACTGTGCCAGGCTTTGAGTCTTCAGACACTGTATTAGACAGTGATGTGACTTCTATTTCTGGTGGATTATCATTTACGTCTTTTACTTTTATAATGACTCTACAGCGGCTTGTTAATGGAGGCGTTCCTTTGTCAGATGCTTCAACATCTATCTTGTATATCTCCGTTTCTTCAAAATCCACCGCACCTTTCAATTTAATTTCTCCACTTACTCTATTCAATTCAAATATGTCATAAATGTTCCGCGATAATGCTTTGCTGAGAGTAAACTCTATTTCTCCGTTGTTCCCTTCATCTGTATCTGTTGCATTCACTCTTGTAACAATAGTACCGACTGGAACGTTCTCATATATTTCTACTTGATAGGTATCCTGACTAAACACTGGACGGTTATCGTTAGTGTCAAGAACAATTATAGAAACATTTAGTGTGCCTGATCTTTGAGGTTTACCGCCATCAACTGCTGTTACAAAAAGCACATGTTTGCTCTTTTGTTCTCTGTCTAAGGACTTCTTCAGCACTAAATACGGCGTTTTATCCTCATCGCTTTGACTAACATCTATTTCAAAGTGATCGTTTGACGTCAATGTATATGTGCGGATGGAGTTAATTCCAGCATCAGGATCACGGGCCGCGTGCAGTTGGAAACGGGTTCCCGGAGATGTATGTTCTGCTATTTTAAATTGTTGCTCCTTTTCAGGAAATCCGGGAGAGTGATCATTTATATCAGTAATTTCTACGACAACATGGTGCATTTCCAAAGGGTTTTCAACAAGGATCTTCAACTCCATTGTGCATACACCGCTCCCATGACACAGCTCCTCTCTGTCGATCTTTTTAAGAATCTGTAACGCACCACTGTTCGGGTTTACCTCGAAAAAAGCATCTTTAGATCCAGACACAACTCGAAATCTTCGATCAATCAAAGAGGTTTTATCCAGACCAAGATCCTTTGCAACATTTCCAACAGAAGTCCCTTCTTTCATCTCCTCTGGAATAGAGTACCTCAATTCAGCCACAGCATGTTTCCCGAAAATCAGCAATAGAGAAAAATACAAATTAAACCGACGACTGTCACTTGAGCGATGTCGTCGTGGACTCCCCATCATTATCCAACAGCATAAGCTTTTCTTTCTGCGGCAATAATGGTCTACCACACTGTCCTATTCGACTCCCGTTCTTAAATCAAATGTATCTCTGCTGTGAGGTACCAAACAAAAGCTTTGTAATAGGAGGAACGAAATATATGATGGCCACGTCAGTGTCACAGTGACACCAAGAGGACAACATTTGACAACGTTATTTGTAACAAAGTTATATTTGTGTCACATATCTACCTGCAAAGATGGTGAGCAAAGTGAATACATGGTCAATAAAAAACTAGAGCTTGATATAATATTGTTTTCTTATAATCGAAGCGGCTTCATGTGTTAATTTTGATGCAAAGTAATATCTCTGAAAAAATAATTAACATATAAAACATTGTATTGCCCGTTGACTGCAATCCAGCATACCATGGACAATCACTGCTATTTACATAATGATTTATTTGTCCAAAGAGTTCACTGCTCATTGCTCAGTTATCAGTGTAACTTTGCAACAAACAAATACATGCATAACACCAAAAACAGAGGAAGCCATTGCTTTTAAAGTAAGTTATCATTTGTTGATATTCTCCTTGATTTAAGAACTTTTGGGCACATGTTTTCTCGAAACATGCACAAACTTGCAGGGAAATATAAAATGCTTTCTCGTAAACATGTTTTAAGAAGCACTACATGTTTAAAGTCTTACCTCTGTGGATGTTCCCCTCCTGTCAGGAAGCACCAGTGTGTTGGCATGGCTGCCCGGGACTATAGTAGATCCTATACTCATTCTGGGTCCAACTAACATGTAGCGCTTGTCTCCAGATCTGTACTGGATGCTGTGACACAGTGTCCCATCATAGTTAGTCTCTTGTAGATATTTAGAAGTATAGTCTGTGGACTTAGAGCACTGCATTGCAATCAGCACGATGATGCTGATGAGAAAAAGTGTTGAGACTGAGCCCAAAGTTATCATCAGGTAAAAAGTCACATTATTATCCTCATCATCCTTTGTTGCACTTTTAACATCAGCAGCAGCAAAAGCCTCTCTGGGCTCCACAAGTTTAACAACCACAGTAGCTGTTGCTGACAGGGAAACGTTGCCATTGTCTTTCACCAGTATGAGCAGTTTATGCTCAGCCTCGTCTGTCTCTGTGAATGAGCGAAGTGTTCTGATCCGTCCTGTATAGCGGTCCAAACCAAAGAGACTGTGGGCAGTAACTTCCTGCAAGTGAGAACAGTAACCAGCCGTTATATCCTATATCAGCGTCATAGGCTCTGACTTTAGTCACCAAGTGTCCTGCGTTCACATTGCGGGGAATCTCCTCCACACCTTCAGCAGAACCGTTAGAGCTGACCGGATACAGGATGACTGGAGCGTTGTCGTTCTGATCCAGAATGAACACGTGCACTGTGACGTTGCTGCTTAGTGACGGAGTTCCAGAATCTGTGGCGACAACTTGGAACTGGAACGTTTTCAGAGTCTCAAAGTCAAAGATTTTTAGCGCTGATATATCTCCAGTTTCAGAGTTGATATTTAGGAAAGACATTAAGTCATTTTGACTGCCTTGTCTCACTATACTATACGAAATAGCTGAATTGTCATTCAAGTCATTGTCTGTTGCACTTACAGAGAATATAGAATTTCCGGCAATGTTATTTTCTACGAGATAAAACTCTAAAGGCGTTTTATTGAAAAGAGGACGATTGTCGTTTACATCTGATATCTGAATGTTGAGAGTTTTAAATGTATATAAGGGAGGTTCACCACAATCAGTGGCTTTTATTGTTATTTCATAATGTGACACCTGCTCTCGATCCAATAATCCCTTAGTGACAACCGAGTAAGTGTTTTCCTTATAGGAGGGCTTTAATTCAAACGGAACGTCTGAGGTTATGCTTGTTATTATTTTTCCGTTGACACCGGAGTCTTTGTCCGTTACGCTGATAAGGGAAATAATTGTTCCCGGTTTTGAATCTTCAGACACTGTATCTGCGAGTGATGTGACTTCTATTTCCGGTGTATTATCGTTGACGTCTAATATCTTTATAACGACTCTACACTCACCTGTCAGTGGAGGTGTTCCTTTATCTGACGCCTCAACATCCAGTTTATAAACGTCGTTTTCTTCATAGTCAACATTTCCCCTAACTGTAATATCTCCAGTTAATTTGTCCAACTCAAACATATCATAGATTTTTCGTTTTAAGATTTTTCCTAGGCTATATTCAATATCACTATTTGTGCCTTCGTCTGGATCCGTTGCATTCATTTTAAATATTGAAGTACCGAGTGCAATATTTTCGTGTATTGAAATGTGGTAAATCTCCTGACTAAACATCGGTCGATTATCATTACTATCCAGCACAATAATAGACACATTAAGTGTGCCCGATTTTGGAGGTTTACCTCCATCAACTGCAGTAACCAGCAGCGTGTGTTTGTTCTTTTGTTCTCTGTCCAACGATTTCTTTAGCACTAGAAATGGTATTTTATCTTCATCGCTTTGGCGGATATCTACTTCAAAATGTTCATTTGACGTTAAAGTGTACGTACGAATAGAGTTTACTCCATTATCGGGTCGCGTGCAGATTGCAGTTGAAATCGCTTTCCTGGTAATGTGTGCTCAGCTATTTCAAATATCTGTTCCCTTTCAGGAAAACTAGGAGAGTGATCATTTACATCCGTGATTTCTACAATTACGTAGTGTATTTCCAAAGGAGATTCAACGAGGATTTTGAGCTCCATAAGGCAGGCACCGCCTCCCTGACACAGCTCCTCTCTGTCAATGTGCTTGTTGACGTACAGAGCCCCGTTATCCTGGTTTACTTCAAAAATAGCCTCCTTACTTCCAGACACAACGCGGAACCGTCGAGCAATCAAAGAGGGGATTTCCACACCAAGATCCTTGGCCACATTTCCAACAACTGTGCCTTCTCTTACCTCCTCTGGAATAGAGTAGCGTATCTGAGCAAAAGCCTGATTTCCGAACAGAAGGGGTAAAGCCAAATAAAAAGCAAACCAGGAGCAGTCCTTTGTCCGAGGTTTTGAATCGGTCCCCATCATTATCCAACAACACATTCACCAAAAGGAGCCGGTTACTTTGAAAAACGGTTATTTAAATCCATCCCGTTGAATAACGCGATTTGCAAGAGACGAATTGTGACTCTAACGACTGGTTTGCTTGATTCAGTAAGAAACAAAAGCCTTGGAAGGGGAGGTTCAAAGTCGTCTCTGGTTTCCCGATGTAATAGTGACACCCAGAGGCAACTATTCAATATAAACTTTGCTATATGTTTAGGTAACAACACGTTTCCCAAAAAAGCTGATATAAATAACCGTACATTAAGGAACAATAACAACATCATTTTATTTAATTAAAGAAATTGATTAGTTGCACTTTTGTAGAGCCATATTAACTCAGACTGTTAAATTGTCATAGAGTTTTAGGAATAATAAAATCAATACTTTTCAATACGTTTTTGTAACATTGCAAATTCGTTTGATCGCGAGTTTCAGCCCCATGGGAAGCAACCACGAGTATTTACACAACCATTCCACTAAAACAACACTCTGTTTCAAAACAACTAAGTCCATGAATACTTAATCCTGAACTCTATAGATTATCACACTTCCAATCAATTGTTTGTCAGTACTTTCAGGCTCAAATTTGAAAGATATTTTCTCAAATATTTCTGAATAAATACCTTTGTGGGACTTTCTCGGTAAATAGCAGGAACATTGTATCTTCAGCACCATGGACAGCGGTCATAATCAGGGAAATGGTTGTCATTATAATGTGACGCGGTCAGTTTTAATGGGATCTGATGTGTTTTGATATTAAGTATTGCTGTGTTTTAATTGTGTGAGTTCGTAGCAACATGTATTCAATTTCCCACTGCCCCTGAACTAAGCAGTGCAGCATGGAACCGCAGCAGCAATGAGCGCATTGCGCAACCCGTGTGTACAGCGAGGAGCGCAGACACAGAGCAGGAAGGAACGAGCAAGGCCAGGAATTAGGAGACGCTAACATCCAGGAAGGATGTACGCGGATTGGCTGTGACGAGCAGAGCCGGGCAACGCAGGACACCATCAGCAAGGAGGTGGATTATCGCCGGCGGGTCGAGTAAGGGGAAGTGACCTGGAGCAACAGAGGGGTGTAATTGCGATTCACCCCTCCTTCAACTAAGTACCCTTTTGGATCATTTTTTTATCCCTAACTTTTAAATGACTTTTTAACACTTTTAATTGGAGAATTTTAGACTTTGCTTTCAGCCCCTATTTATAAACGTTTAGCACATCAAAACACTGGACCCTGGACAATTGAGTGTACAAAAACATTTTGCATTTCTGTATCCCTTTCTAAGTAAATGCTCATTTTCTTTGATAATTGAGACAAAATAGAACCTAGAGAAATGTGTATGAACTGACATAATATAGAAACTACTTTTGAAATATTTGATTTTGCCCATAATTACTTTGTAGCTGTGAAAAATACTTGTATGACACGATACGAAGCAACCTTTGCAAAGAGCAAAACATAACATTTAACATGGTACCATATTGTTTAAAATGGTGTTGTTTAGGTCTTACCTCTGTAGATGTCCCCCTCCTGTCAGGGAGCACCAGTGTGTTGGCATGGCTGCCCGGGACTATAGTAGATCCTATACTCATTCTGGGTCCAACTAACATGTAGCGCTTGTCTCCAGATCTGTACTGGATGCTGTGACACAGTGTCCCATCATAGTTAGTCTCTTGTAGATATTTAGAAGTACAGTCTGTGGACTTAGAGCACTGCATTGCAATCAGCACGATGATGCTGATGAGAAAAAGTGTTGAGACTGAGCCCAAAGTTATCATCAGGTAAAAAGTCACATTATTATCCTCATCATCCTTTGTTGCACTTTTAACATCAGCAGCAGCAAAAGCCTCTCTGGGCTCCACAAGTTTAACAACCACAGTAGCTGTTGCTGACAGGGACACGTTGCCATTGTCTTTCACCAGTATGAGCAGTTTTATGCTCAGCCTCGTCTGTCTCTGTGAATGAGCGAAGTGTTCTGATCTGTCCTGTATAGCGGGTCCAAACCAAAGAGACTGTGGGCAGTAACTTCCTGCAGTGAGAACAGTAACCAGCCGTTATATCCTATATCAGCGTCATAGGCTCTGACTTTAGTCACCAAGTGTCCTGCGTTCACATTGCGGGGAATCTCCTCCACACCTTCAGCAGAACCGTTAGAGCTGACCGGATACAGGATGACTGGAGCGTTGTCGTTCTGATCCAGAATGAACACGTGCACTGTGACGTTGCTGCTTAGTGACGGAGCTCCAGAATCTGTGGCGACAACTTGGAACTGGAACGTTTTCAGAGTCTCAAAGTCAAAGCTTTTTAGCGCCAAAATATCTCCAGTTTCAGAGTTGATATTTAGGAAAGACATTATGTCATTTTGACTGCCTTGTCTCACTATACTATACGAAATAACTGAATTGTCATTCAAGTCATTGTCTGTTGCACTTACAGAGAATATAGAATTTCCGCCAATGTTATTTTCTACCAGATAAAACTCTAAAGGCGTTTTATTGAAAAGAGGACGATTGTCGTTTACATCTGATATCTGAATGTTGAGAGTTTTAAATGTATATAAGGGAGGTTCACCACAATCAGTGGCTTTTATTGTTATTTCATAATGTGACACCTGCTCTCGATCCAATAATCCCTTAGTGACAACCGAGTAAGTGTTTTCCTTATAGGAGGGCTTTAATTCAAACGGAACGTCTGAGGTTATGCTTGATATTATTTTTCCGTTGACACCGGAGTCTTTGTCCGTTACGCTGATAAGGGAAATAATTGTTCCCGGTTTTGAATCTTCAGACACTGTATCTGCGAGTGATGTGACTTCTATTTCCGGTGTATTATCGTTGACGTCTAATATCTTTATAACGACTCTACACTCACCTGTCAGTGGAGGTGTTCCTTTATCTGACGCCTCAACATCCAGTTTATAAACGTCGTTTTCTTCATAGTCAACATTTCCCCTAACTGTTATATCTCCAGTTAATTTGTCCAACTCAAACATATCATAGATTTTTCGTTTTAAGGTTTTTCCTAGGCTATATTCAATATCACTATTTGTGCCTTCGTCTGGGTCCGTTGCATTCATTTTAAATATTGAAGTACCGAGTGCAACATTTTCGTGTATTGAAATGTGGTAAATCTCCTGACTAAACATCGGTCGATTATCATTACTATCCAGCACAATAATAGACACATTAAGTGTGCCCGATTTTGGAGGTTTACCTCCATCAACTGCAGTAACCAGCAGCGTGTGTTTGTTCTTTTGTTCTCTGTCCAACGATTTCTTTAGCACTAAAAATGGTATTTTATCCTCATCGCTTTGGCGGATATCTACTTCAAAATGTTCATTTAACGTTAAAGTGTACGTGCGAATAGAGTTAACTCCAGCATCGGGGTCGCGAGCAGTATGCAGTTGAAATCGCTTTCCTGGTAATGTGTGCTCAGCTATTTCAAATATCTGTTCCCTTTCAGGAAAACTAGGAGAATGATCATTTACATCCGTAATTTCTATAATTACGTAGTGTATTTCCAAAGGAGATTCAACGAGGATTTTGAGCTCCATAAGGCAGGCACCGCCTCCCTGACACAGCTCCTCTCTGTCAATGTGCTTGTTGACGTACAGAGCCCCGTTATCCTGGTTTACTTCAAAAATAGCGTCCTTACTTCCAGACACAACGCGGAACCGTCGAGCAATCAAAGAGGGGATTTCAACACCAAGATCCTTGGACACATTTCCAACAACTGTGCCTTCTCTTACCTCCTCTGGAATAGAGTAGCGTATCTGAGCAAAAGCCTGATTTCCGAACAGAAGGGGTAAAGCCAAATAAAAAGCAAACCAGGAGCAGTCCTTTGTCCGAGGTTTTGTATCGGTCCCCATCATTATCCAACAACACATTCACCAACAAGATCCGGTTACTTTGAAAAACGGTTATGTAAATCCATCCCGCTGAATAACGCGTATTCTGCAAAACTCAGAGCTTGATTCTAACGACTGGTTTGCATGATTCAAATGCGCTCAAACCTCTATTCAGTAAGAGACAAAAGCCTTGGAAGGGGAGGGTCAAAGTCGTTTCTGGTTTCTCGATGTAATACTGACACCCAATGGCAATTCATAAAAACAAACTTGTCCTACATGTTCTTTAAAAAATTTGAAGAGATGCTGTTATATGCCTTGCAGATAACAATATGCCAGCCTTTTACTGATTATTTAAACAGTATAGATTTGATTAACCATGGTTGTACTTGTTGACACATGTTCATGAGATTCAGCTCCATGTATGCCATTTACAATGAACTCCAGCATTTCCTTCTTATAATAAAAGTGCTTCCATCCAAAACTGGTTCCATGCATATTGCATATTAAGCTCAAAGGTAACACTGCAGCATTGTCGTGCTTTCCATCCAAATTGCCATCCCGGTTGTGGTAATTTTACTAATCTGAGACCCACATTTCTGAAACACACATCTTGCTTTTCCCACAATCCCATTTGAACTTTTTGGAGAGAACAAGACAATTATGATTTAGGTACCATGGACAATGGTAATAATCGAGAAAAGGCTGTCTATTTTATATTTCAAATTGATTAATGTCAAGTATGCTACTTATTGGCAGTTCAAAA